TCAGTGGTGTCTCACAAGCACCACGGTACCCCCCATGTATAGGTTTTATGTTTTTTTTGAAAGTTACAGGGTCTTATATACGGCTTATCAATTTATGCTTTTTCACATTCAAATTTGTCAGATTAGTCTGCTGTGACAAGGCCGCCTTTGAGACCGTATGGCAGCCAAGAAATGAAAATTACCCCTTAATGGCATACCATTTGAAAAAGTAGACATCCCAGGGTATTCAAAATGGGGTATGGCCAGTCTTTTGTAGTAGCCACTTGGGCACAAATGCTAGCCAAAGTTAGTGTTCCGTTTTTTTTTTTGCGTTTTTCACATAAAAACTGTACTTTTACTGATAATATAAATGTCTGTATATAGTCTACTGCCTTGAAACCCTCCTAGTTCTGTTCAGTGGTGTCTCACAAGCACCACGGTACCCCCCATGTATAGGTTTTATGGGGTTTTTGAAAGTTACAGGGTCTTATATACGGCTTATCAATTTATGCTTTTTCACATTCAAATTTGTCAGATTAGTCTGCTGTGACAAGGCCGCCTTTGAGACCGTATGGCAGCCAAGAAATGAAAATTACCCCTTAATGGCATACCATTTGAAAAAGTAGACATCCCAGGGTATTCAAAATGGGGTATGGCCAGTCTTTTGTAGTAGCCACTTGGGCACAAATGCTAGCCAAAGTTAGTGTTCCGTTTTTTTTTTTGCGTTTTTCACATAAAAACTGTACTTTTACTGATAATATAAATGTCTGTATATAGTCTACTGCCCTGAAACCCTCCTAGTTCTGTTCAGTGATGTCTCACGAGCGGCACGGTATGCCCTATGCATAGGTTTTAGGCATTTTTTGAAAGTTACAGGGTCATATATACGGCTTATCCATTTATGCTTTTTCACAATGGAATTTGTCAGATTAGTTTGCTGTGTCTAGGCTGCCTTTGAGACCGTATGGCAGCCAAGAAATGAAAACTACCCTTAATGGCATACCATTTGAAAAAGTAGACATCCCAGGTATTCAAAATGGGGTATGGCCAGTCTTTTGTAGTAGCCACTTGGGCACAAATGCTAGCCAAAGTTAGTGTTCCGGTTTATTTTTTGCGTTTTTCACATAAAAACTGTACTTTTACTGATAATATTAACGTCTGTATATAGTCTACTGCCCTGAAACCCTCCTAGTTCTGTTCAGTGGTGTCTCACAAGCACCACGGTACCCCCCATGTATAGGTTTTATGGGGTTTTTGAAAGTTACAGGGTCATATATACGGCTTATCCATTTATGCTTTTTCACATTCAAATTTGTCAGATTAGTCTGCTGTGACAAGGCCGCCTTTGAGACCGTATGGCAGCCAAGAAATGAAAATTACCCCTTAATGGCATACCATTTGAAAAAGTAGACATCCCAGGGTATTCAAAATGGGGTATGGCCAGTCTTTTGTAGTAGCCACTTGGGCACAAATGCTAGCCAAAGTTAGTGTTCCGGTTTTTTTTTTTGCGTTTTTCACATAAAAACTGTACTTTTACTGATAATATTAACGTCTGTATATAGTCTACTGCCCTGAAATCCTCCTGGTTCTGTTCAGTGGTGTCTCACAAGCACCACGGTACCCCCCATGTATAGGTTTTATGGGGTTTTTGAAAGTTACAGGGTCATATATACGGCTTATCCATTTATGCTTTTTCACATTCAAATTTGTCAGATTAGTCTGATGTGACAAGGCCGCCTTTGAGACCGTATGGCAGCCAAGAAATGAAAATTACCCCTTAATGGCATACCATTTGAAAAAGTAGACATCCCAGGGTATTCAAAATGGGGTATGGCCAGTCTTTTGTAGTAGCCACTTGGGCACAAATGCTAGCCAAAGTTAGTGTTCCGTTTTTTTTTTGTGTTTTTCACATAAAAACTGTACTTTTACTGATAATATTAACTTCTGTATATAGTCTACTGCCCTGAAACCCTCCTAGTTCTGTTCAGCGGTGTCTCACAAGCACCACGGTACCCCCCATGTATAGGTTTTATGTGGTTTTTGAAAGTTACAGGGTCTTACATACGCCTGTCCATTTTTGGTTTTAAACATTGAAAATTGGCAAAGTGATTTTCTGGGCCTATCTCGCCTTTGAGAGAGCATGGCAGCCTGGGTAATAACATTTCCACTATTATGGCATACCATTTTCAAAAGTAGGCAACCCAGAGTATTTCAAATGGTGCATTTTGAGATGTTTGGTCTAACCACATTATCAGAAATGAAGGGCCCACATAGCGGTAATAGATTAATTTGTGCATTTTTCCACAACATGAAATCACTTTTCACAGGACATTTCCTATTCCTGGTATGAGTTATTGCAACAAAGCCTCACTATTTTATTTTTAACATTGTCTCCTGAATATAACAGTACCCCCATGTACCAGATTTTCTGTTTTTTGGGGAAGTCACAGGGACAAATATATTAGATGTCCATTTCAAAATTGGAAATTTGGCAAAGTGATTTTCTGGGCCTATCTCGCCTTTGAGAGAGCATGGCAGCCTGGGTAATAACATTTCCACTATTATGGCATACCATTTTCAAAAGTAGGCAACCCAGAGTATTTCAAATGGTGCATTTTGAGATGTTTGGTCTAACCACATTATCAGAAATGAAGGGCCCACATAGCGGTAATAGATTAATTTGTGCATTTTTCCACACATGAAATCACTTTTCACAGGACATTTCCTATTCCTGGTATGAGTTATTGCAACAAAGCCTCACTATTTTTTTTTAACATTGTCTCCTGAATATAACAGTACCCCCATGTACCAGATTTTCTGTTTTTTGGGGAAGTCACAGGGACAAATATATTAGATGTCCATTTCAAAATTGGAAATTTGGCAAAGTGATTTTCTGGGCCTATCTCGCCTTTGAGAGAGCATGGCAGCCTGGGTAATAACATTTCCACTATTATGGCATACCATTTTCAAAAGTAGGCAACCCAGAGTATTTCAAATGGTGCATTTTGAGATGTTTGGTCTAACCACATTATCAGAAATGAAGGGCCCACATAGCGGTAATAGATTAATTTGTGCATTTTTCCACACATGAAATCACTTTTCACAGGACATTTCCTATTCCTGGTATGAGTTATTGCAACAAAGCCTCACTATTTTTTTTTAACATTGTCTCCTGAATATAACAGTACCCCCATGTACCAGATTTTCTGTTTTTTGGGGAAGTCACAGGGACAAATATATTAGATGTCCATTTCAAAATTGGAAATTTGGCAAAGTGATTTTCTGGGCCTATCTCGCCTTTGAGAGAGCATGGCAGCCTGGGTAATAACATTTCCACTATTATGGCATACCATTTTCAAAAGTAGGCAACCCAGAGTATAACAAATGGTGCATTTTGAGATGTTTGGTCTAACCACATTATCAGAAATGAAGGGCCCACATAGCGGTAATAGATTAATTTGTGCATTTTTCCACACATGAAATCACTTTTCACAGGACATTTCCTATTCCTGGTATGAGTTATTGCAACAAAGCCTCACTATTTTTTTTTAACATTGTCTCCTGAATATAACAGTACCCCCATGTACCAGATTTTCTGTTTTTTGGGGAAGTCACAGGGACAAATATATTAGATGTCCATTTCAAAATTGGAAATTTGGCAAAGTGATTTTCTGGGCCTATCTCGCCTTTGAGAGAGCATGGCAGCCTGGGTAATAACATTTCCACTATTATGGCATACCATTTTCAAAAGTAGGCAACCCAGAGTATAACAAATGGCATAATTTGAGATGTTTGGTCTAACCACATTATCAGAAATGCTGGGCCCATGTAGCGATACCTACTTTTTTTTTTTTTTTAAATTCTTTATTTTTGTTGTGCTAAGAATTACAGACAAGTTTATATCGCCACGACAGCTGATACAAGCTGATGGAACAACGCAAGACAATCAGTAACATGGGAGGAATTAACAGCACAATTTTTAAGAGATTTGTTAAAGAGATCTATAACATTTGCTTCAACATTAGCTGCAACCAAGTTGGTAGCCACGAGGAGTAGAGTAGACTATTTGAATACTATCAAGAATATATGTATAAAAATTAAGCATTAGTCATGGTTCTAGCCTACAAGAGTAGTATTGCCGCTAGGGCTGAGTAGGTGTATGAGCGTTGCTATGACATAAATGCTATACGATACTGACATGCTAGCAATAGTGAGAAAGGGTGATGGTCTCTTAACTGGGCTAGCCCATGATCAGCATGAGCAAAGCCCAGTGTGTTCCCCTGTAGCCAATACCGCCGAACAGAGACAGTAGGACTGACATAGCATTATATTCTCATAGGCATCAAATCTAGGCATATATAGGTAGTCTTAAGCAAGATGTGTTAATGCCACATAGATTTAGTGTGTAGGCTAGTGTTTCCACAAGAACAATGCAAAGGGCTATGATTAGTTCTGTTCCCTCGCTATACTGGCCACAACAGCAAGATTCATACAAAATAAAAATAAAGACAACAGTAATTAGCATCCTTTTTAGTCCTGTAGTGTGTACATGCTGCAGATGGGAAGACAGTGTAGGTATCAAGGGTATTCTGTCCCTTCAAAACTGCAGAGGCAACAGGATAATGGCATGTCAGTTGAAACTTATATTTGTAACGTTAAGAAAACATTTTTGTACTTGTATGAGGGTATACAGGCTAAGTACAAAACTAAAATGATTGCTGCTTAACAATACTAGGTTATTATAACGTAATTGCATGTTTTGCAGTATGGCAGTTGATGGCTGGTATATAGCACCTATACAGTAAGTGGACATCTGTAGCCAGCTGTCTGATGAGAGATATATAGGAAATATATAAAAGACCTGCCACACTGATTAGGTACAGGAATAACTCTGCAAGATTAGAGGGAAATACACCCTAAGCTAAAAGGCAAAGAGGAGGGTAGTATCGTTGGTAAGTCGCATCGTGAGTCCACAGTGGTTGGTGCTTACAGTCTCTGGGACCTCAGTCTCGGGGGTTCACCCGACTCCGGCTTTCGGCAGGAGCCTCTGGTATGCGGGAGGTGCAGCTGTGATCCGGTGATGGGCCTTGTACATGCGGGTACTGTTCGGCTGTGGCATCCCTGGTCCGGGCTGTAGCAAGGATCCATCTTTGGCTGTATGAGTGTCGGGTGGCTGTGTATCTCTGTCCCTCAGGGCTGTCTTGGTGGAGCCAGCGGTGCGGTGGGCAGGTGGTGTCTGTATGCCTCCGTTTCGGCTTAGGTACCTCGTGTGTTGTGAGTGTCTGTGTCCCTGTAGGGTGGAGGAGGGTCCGCTTGATTGAAAGACAGACCTAATAGGTCAGGGAAAACAGGACGCCCCCTGGTGAATACTTATATATATATATATATACAAAAGAGGTAAAACATAACCTTTAATTGTTGCTGTAATAAAAATACTCTAGCAAAAAGCTTAGAAAGAATATATGTAAATGTTTAAAATTGGGAGGATATATGCCTGGAAGGGGATAATAATCCTGAAGGAATCACCTAAAGGATCTCAAGCTGAATAGAGCTGAAAATCCCCCCAACCAGTAAAGTACTTCTCTTAGTGATGGTACCTCTAAAACTTGCCTAGATAAAGAGAAACAATTCCTCTATGCTTGCTAGATAGACTCTTATCCAAAAGTCTCTTATACCACTAACTGAAATAAAATCCAATAGGGTAAGAAAGTAGCAACTATATAAATCCTTGTGACCAGATTGTAGCAAGAAATAGTAGAAAAGGTCCATTAACTGTGTGATCATCCACTAGTCTAAATACGGTAACTAGATAGATACAGTGTGATAAGTATCATAGCAATATTGTACGCCTGTTACTGAGGGATAGAGGAATGGGGGAAAAGAAGGCAGCTATATTCAAGTCAGTAGTACTGGAAAAAGCTATCGCATAATAAGCTTAACAGGGTCTTGTAGAAACAGTGGCCCCGTCGCCCATATCCACCCCACCCCTTCTAGTGAATCGTATTAGAGTTCTAGCTAACTGATCATCTAGAGAGACTAAACTAGTCGGCGTCCAGGTGAAGAAATATCCTGCCTGCTACCTAACACGTGTTTCGGCGCTGCTAACGCGCCTTCTTCTGAGGCTAAACAGGTGATCAGAGCATCGGTGGCTCCTTAAATAGCCCTTTACACACAGTTCATAATGGGGGCGTGTGCAGTGCGTTCGCGCCAAAATTGGCCGAACGTGATCCAGCCCCGCCCCCAATGACAACCCAGCCTCTGATTGGTGAATGTGGGTTGATTGAACGATACCTCCGTTAACCCTGTAGGTGCCAATCTTACGTTGCTGCTGGGTAGCATGCAGCATAGATAATACTGAGGTAAAAGAAACCCATCGCCATATTAGTAATTTATGAGAGGGGTGTACAATCAGTGTAGGACTTAGGAAGGCTTATGAATCCACAGGAGTTCGATAGAATCAATATCATTATCATATTGGAATACTAGGTGGAAGTCCAATTAATAATTGAACATGAATTGCGACCACATAATAAGTAAGCCAATTTCTGAAGAGAGATCCTATTGATTAAAGAGTCCTTGCGGAGTCCAGTTAATTATTGAGCATAAATTAAGACTAGATAACAAATAAGCCGATCTCTAAGGAGAGATCCTATTAATTATACTATCCTTATATATCCAGAATAGCACATATAGAGCCATTAGGGTTAAATGTCAAAATGAGTGAATAGAGTTATAGACGAGTGTGTATATATAGGGCCAAGTGGATCACCGATGCATAAAACAAAATAAATAAAGAACAAAGAATAAAGTATATACAGTCTAAATAAATATTATGTACATATATAATACAATTATATTAGTATAGTTCCTTAGTGTTACTATTTTTCAATGAAGGGAGTGAAGGTAAACCCCTCATTTAAACCATTGGGGGCCAAAGTTTTGAACCTATAGATCCAGTAACACTCTCTTTTAAGGAGGGTGTGATCCAAGTCACCGCCCCTACGACCTAGGTTCACTTTTTCAATCCCTGCGAATCTAACCACTTCGGGATCCCCGCAGTGTTGATTTCGTATATGTCTCGCCACAGGGGTGTCCCTCTGATTCCTCACAGAGTGTATGTGCTCCATGATACGTCTTTTAAAGGGGCGGATTGTTTTACCCACGTATCTGAGGCCACATGTACAGATCAAGAGATAGACTAAACCTTTGGTATTGCAATTAAAAAATTGCTTAACATTGTAGACCACTTGACCACATGAATCTGTGAGATGTTTGGAGTCTTTACATATGTACCTGCATATTTCTTCACCTGGACGCCGACTAGTTTAGTCTCTCTAGATGATCAGTTAGCTAGAACTCTAATACGATTCACTAGAAGGGGTGGGGTGGATATGGGCGACGGGGCCACTGTTTCTACAAGACCCTGTTAAGCTTATTATGCGATAGCTTTTTCCAGTACTACTGACTTGAATATAGCTGCCTTCTTTTCCCCCATTCCTCCATCCCTCAGTAACAGGCGTACAATATTGCTATGATACTTATCACACTGTATCTATCTAGTTACCGTATTCAGACTAGTGGATGATCACACAGTTAATGGACCTTTTCTACTATTTCTTGCTACAATCTGTTCACAAGGATTTATATAGTTGCTACTTTCTTACCCTATTGGATTTTATTTCAGTTAGTGGTATAAGAGACTTTTGGATAAGAGTCTATCTAGCAAGCATAGAGGAATTGTTTCTCTTTATCTAGGCAAGTTTTAGAGGTACCATCACTAAGAGATGTACTTTACTGGTTGGGGGGATTTTCAGCTCTATTCAGCTTGAGATCCTTTAGGTGATTCCCTCAGGATTATTATCCCCTTCCAGGCATATATCCTCCCAATTTTAAACATTTATATATATCCTTTCCAAGCTTTTTGCTAGAGTATTTTTATTACAGCAACAATTAAAGGTTATGTTTTACCTCTTTTGTATATATATATAAGTATTCACCAGGGGGCGTCCTGTTTTCCCTGACCTATTAGGTCTGTCTTTCAATCAATACACGTATGTGAGGGTTATCCCCTATTTTGGCCGCCCCTAGACACACACCTTGTTGTTTCCCCGTTTGGGGTATCCAACTTTTTTTGAGGGTCCGCTTGAGCCTCCCTTGTCAATGTTTGACACCCTTGCACTGCTACGGTTCGCTATCTTGGGCTTGTGGGGGACATTATGGATGTTGCGTCCCCATGATGAACCTGCTCCCCCTGGTACCGTTGCTGATGTTGGGGGGTAGCCCTTAGGCAGGCTTTCCCCCTCTGGGAACCTACCCGGGTGGGTATGTGCGCCTCTCGGCCCGGCATGTCTCCCGCCTTGCCGCCCTGATAGGGCTCGGTTGGGTGTCGTCGCTGCAGTCTTTTGCTTTGTGGCTGGGGTCGGCTTGTGCCGTGAGAGGTCACCTGGCTGGCTCCGGACAGGCTGGTGCTGCTTACTTGCTAGCCTGCGCCAGAGTTGTGAGCCCTGTGAGTGCCGAGGTGAGTATGCGTTATCCATTTTGTGTTCTCCTCGTGGTCGCTTTGATGGACGAAATCCGTGTTTGGCATCGGCATGCTGTTGCATACACCTTTCAAGCTTCTGCCAAAAAGCTGTAAATATTGCTTCCAGCCTTGCTGTATAGTCAGCTTGCTCTGCGTGGCATTCTGCAGGTTTCTCCCTGAGTCGACCAGGAGCTCTCACAGCAGTGGTCCTGGGGGAACTCTGAGTCCGGTGGGTTGCAGGCTGTGTTATGGGGGTGATCGTCCCCAGCGAGGACCGGGATGACCCCCGCCGGTCCAGAGGGGGGGGTAGCAGAGCTGTATCGGTCGTGTGAGCGTGCCCCCTGCCGGGGGATCGGCCGCCTCCCCCAGGCATCAGGCCCCGCTCTGGCTTAGGCCGCATGGCCGGTTCAGGTAATTTTGTCCTGTTTTTGTCCGGGACAGGTATCATCCTGTTCTCCGGTTGTTCCTTTGTCGCTCTCTGGTCACCGTGAGTCTGTAGCGTCAGTAGTGTAGCCAGGGTTAATGTTTATTGGCCCACCAGTGCTGGAGCTCTTAGAAAACACGTCCGGCCATCTTGGTTGTCAGGCTCCGCCCCCCGCGATACCTACTTTTAGTTTTGTCTTTTTAATCACATAAATTGCATTTTCACTAGAAATGTCATAATTCTGGTATTAGTTAGTACACTAAAACCTCAGTATTTCAATTTAACACTGTCTTCTGAATATAATGGTACCCCCACGTATCATTATTTCAGATTTTTTCCGATAAGTACAGGGCAAAATATATTAGATGCCCTTTTAGCTTGTAAGTTTGGCAAAGTGATTTTCTGAGCCTATCTCGCCTTTGAGAGAGCATGGCAGCCTGGGTAATAACATTTCCACCGTTGTGGCATACCATTTTCAAAAGTAGGCAAGCCAGAGTACAACAAAATGCAGACCTTAAGATGTTTGGTCTAGCCATTTCAACAGAAATGCTGGGCCCATGTAGCGATACCTACTTTTAGTTTTGTCTTTTTAATCACATAAATTGCATTTTCACTAGAAATGTCATAATTCTGGTATTAGTTAGTACACTAAAACCTCAGTATTTTGATTTAGCACGGTCTTCTGAATAGAACAGTACCCACATGTACAATGTTTCAAGGTTTTTATTATATCACAGGAATAGAACAGTACCCCCACATACACTTTGATCTGGAGGCAGAGAGAGGCAGAGAGATGTTTTATCTCACATAGGGAGTTACTGTGTGAAAAGCTGAGAAGTTAAGAAAAAAAACCTGTGATTTTATTAACCCTTTCAATGCTAATCGCAGCATTAACCCTGTGATTAGTTTTTTTTTTTTTTTGTGAAGGCACATTTCAAATACTACAATTGTAGTATTTTGAGTTGTTTGGTGTAGCCACTTTATAATGGCTATCGTAAACAGGGACAGGCCAAGGTCAGGGGAATCCAGAAGTTAGAGTAGTTGGTAAAACAAGCCAATGGGTCGGTACAGGCAGCTAACAAAGCATAGTCAGGACAAGCTGAGGTCAGTAATCCAGGGAAATCAAGCAAACACACTGCCAAAGTCCCATACAGAGTGATTTAGAAGTTCAGCTCTGTATGGTAGACTTTGAAACAGTCTGTTATGCAGAGGCCGGGTTTAGATGGACAAGTTGGGCAATAATAACTAGAGTCCTTTCGGACTCCTTTCTTGTAGCAAACACGGCACTTTTTTGGGGAATTTCTTTTACTAGCGGTGGCAGGGATTCGGGAAGGGAAGTGTTTGC